AAGTTTAGACAGGGCCAGGCATGGTGGCTCATGCCTGTAATCCTAGCACTTTGGGAGGCCGAGGCAAGTGGATTGCCTGAGCTCAGGAGTTTGAGACCAGCCTGGGCAACATGGGGAAACCTCGTCTCTACTAAAATACAAAATATTAGCCGGGCGTGATGGCCCGCGCCTGTAATCCCAGCTATTAGGGAGGCTGAGACAGGAGAATTGCTTGAACCTGGGAGGCAGAGGTTGCAGTGAGCTAAGATCGTGCCATTGCACTCCAGCCTAGGCGACAGAGCGAGACTGTCTCAAAAAAAAAAAACTTTAGACATCATCAAACAGATTCTTATTACGGAAGATATGGACTTAGCCTTTTTATGCTATCCCTTGCCCCACCCAGTATAATTATCACAATATTTGTTTAAACTCACGTACGGTGTTATCTGATGATATTAATTCTTTTCATGGCTGAGGCAGACACTGTATTACGATGACTCTACAACTTCATTGAGGTATCTGAGTGTCCAGTGTGATGAGTTTTGACGTGTGTATACCTGTGAAGCTGTGGCCACAATCACCACAGTGAACTTGTCTGTCTCTCCCAGAGTCCTTGGGCCCCCCCTCCCCATCTCCAGGCAACCACTGATCCGCTTTCTGTCACTGTAATTTAGTGTGCATTTGCTAGAGTTTTACATAAATGGAACCATACGGTGTGTCTTCTTTTTTTGTCCGGCTTCCTCGGGTGTGTGTGGTTATTCTGAGCCGCGCTGCTGCGGCGCACGTCAGGAATTTGTTGCATTTCATAGCTTGCAGGGTCCTGTTGTGCGAAAGTGCCACGGTTCGGTCGTACCCTCACCTGTTGACGGACACCTGGGTGGTTTTAGTTTGGGGCATTCCCAAGTTTGCATTTCCTTCATTAACTGATGTCGTGGAGCATCTTTTTGTGTTTTGTTCATCTCTCGTGGTGAAGTGTGTGTTAGAATCTTCCCCCTTTGTTCCATTTGGGCGTTTGTCTTCTTTAGTTATAAAAGTGCTCTGTATACTCTAGATGGAAGTCCCTTGCCAGGAATCTAGTTTGCACATATTTGATTCCAGTCTGGTGGGCCTTTCCTTTTTGTAATAGTGGTTTTAGTTTTTTTGAGAGCGAATCTCACTCTGTCACGCAGGTTGGTATGCAGTGGTGCGATCTCGGCTCACTGCAACCTCTGCCTCCCGGGTTCACGCGATTCTCCTGCCTCAGCCTCCTAAGTAGCTGGGATTACAGGCACCCACCACCACGCCCGACTAATTTTTGTATTTTTAGTAGAGACGGGGTTTCACCATGTTGTCCAGGCTGTTCTCGATCTCCTGCCTTCAAGTGATCCTCCTGCCTTAGCCTCCCAAAGTGCTGGGATTATAGGCGTGAGCCACCGCACCCAGCTCTGTAATAGTGTTTTTAGAACAAAAGTATTTAATTTTAATGAAGTCCAATGGACTGATTTGTTTTGTTTTGTTTCGTTTTTTTGGTATCACCGTTTTTTTGGTATTGCAGTTTATGGAATTTTGTTATTATGGCTCTGTGATATTTATTATGACGCCTTTGCTTTTCTGGAGTTAATAATGGCCTCGCTTCTTGGTTCGCTTTGTTTCCAATGCACCCTCACGAATTTCTCCCCAAAGCCTTAGCCACACCCTTGCGCTGGCTTTGCTGTTGGCTGGGAGGTCAGCCTCT